ATGCGGCGAGATCCTCTCGGGCCCCACCTCTTTCGACATCACCCTGGGGCCTAGACTCAGGTCGGTCGTGCCCCCACACATGGGGATGTTGCACGAAAAACGCAATACTATTCAAACCAATATCCAATAATATTCAAAAAACAACGTCCCCAGTCGGTTTTTTGGAAGAATGAATTTTCCTCCTGTAGAGGGACGTGCCCGACTTCAGCCTAGACGTCCGTGGCCGAGATTTTGAGATCATTACGGTTGGACCTGGGACAGAAGAGCATCCTTCAAGAACATGAGACCCTCCGCGGGTCCAAGCACCCCAAACCACAAGATCACTCGAGGGTACCCGCCGCCAGAATGCACAAGAGCATCCAGCAAGCACGTAGAACATTAGGGTACCCTCGCCGAGACCGCCTCGATCTTATACTCGGCGGCGGGCGAGAGAGAGGAGTGAGAGGAAGAAGGCCTTCTCAGAAGTCGGCGCGGCTCCTGAGAAGCCCTCGGGCCTTCTGAGAAGTTTTTTGCCTGTCTTCGGGGACGGCTCAACAGACTACTACTCAGAAGGCCAGGGGACTTCCGAGTCTTCCGAGGATGCCTGCCCCTCCTCTAGAGGCCTCCTAGATGGGGTCCGAGTAGATGGGGCCAGAGGATCGCGCCGCATCGCCGATACATCGGCAATGCATCGGCAATACATCAGTGATGCACTGGCGATGTATCGTCGACGTCGGCCATGCATCGGCGACATCGGCGTGGAAAAAATCGAGCTCCGCCTCGAGCCGCATCGGCAAAGCATCGGCGATGCGGCGCGATCCTCCGACCCCCTCTACTCAGACCCCACCTCGAAGGCCAAAAGTCTCACTTTCCCCCCGGGCCCGCCGCAGATCCACCTCGGCCCGACCCCTACACGGCCCAGCGCGTACCCCTGGGAGCCGTCTGAGGAGCCACAAGGCTCGACGCCGGTGGCCCCGCGCAGAGGAGGGGCCGGCCTACGAGGTCCCCGCGGGGTCCGCGCGGGGGGGGGGCGGGGCCTGCGGAGGTCAATCAAGGGCGACAAGCGCCCAAACACCTCGGCACTCGAACCTCGAGGAGGAGGAGGAGGAGGAGGAGGAGGAGGAGGAGAAGGAGGAGGAGGAGGCGGAGGAGGAGCAGGAGGCGGATCAAAGGTCAAACAACGGCGTAAACGGACCGAGAATCTTGTCTTTCCGCCCCAAGTGGCCCCACAAAGGTTCCCCCCAAACCCCCGAGCGGCCCACCGGGGCCCCCAGTAAGCCCCAAGAGGCCTCCAATAGACACAAAAGTGGCCCCACGGCGACCGCCAACACGCTTTCAAACTGCCTCCGAGAGGCACCGCCAGGCCCTCGAAACTCTGAAGACGCCCACAAGAATCCCCACGAAGTGTCCCAGACACCCACGACGCCTCAACCGTGGACTCCACGCCTCGTCTCAGGGGGTCGGCGACATTGCGCCAGCCTCTTGAATCAAGGACCCGGCAACGGCGTAAACAGAATTGCTCAGACCTCGGCGCGGATTTGTTGGGTCGGCGCTGGACCCCCCCCCCTCCCTGGCGCGCGCAGCACGCCAAGGGCGGCGACGGAGAGGTGCCGCCGGGGGGCGCAGCCCGGCGCCGATGCGAGCAGTCCGTGCGAACCTTCCACAGGGAGCCCAACCCTGAGACCCCAGGACGTCCACTTGTTTGTTGGTGCGGAAACGCCACGATTTCCGTAGCAAAACCATCGAAGCCCAGGAATCCCAGGGCACCCTGGAGGCAAGCAAGGCGTTTCGTGGCATGGCTTTCCACTGCATGTCATGCTTCGTACTTCCGCGATCACGCTTCCCAACGGACCTCGGCACTCGGACCTCGGTACTCGGACATCGGTTTTCCGCGTCGAAACGCCTCGAAACTCGACCCTCGGGGACACAGGCCTCCTAGATGGGGTCGGAGTAGATGGGGTCGGAGGATCGCGCCGCATCGACAATGCATCGCCGACGCATCGTCGATGCATCGCCGACGTCGGCGACGCATCGGCGACGTCGGCGTGGAGAAAATCGGGCTCCTCATCGAGCCGCATCGTCGATGCATCGGCGATGCGGCGCGATCCTGCGACCCCACGAGGCCGTGAAGAGAACGATGATACTGTCTCCCAGCCTGAACTGCCCCGATACTGCAACACGCAGCGTATTGATACGGAGCTCGGCACGTAGACTGAACACGTACGCTTTGAACACTGACGTTTTGAACACAGCACGTGTTACGCTTCAAGGCGTGCGCATCAGAGCAGCTAAGCTCCCAGCGCAGTCACGCGGCGCGCAAGGCCGCGAGAGAACAGGCCGCCGCCACAGCGAGGGGGAGGGCATACAGTGCGGACGCGGCCGCAAGAACCCCTCGCAAGAAACCCAACCCTGAGAACCCGTGCGCGAGGCGCACCTGAGGAGAAACCCGGAGCACCCTGAACGTAGCAGCTCCTTCAACGGCTGCGGGAAGTCACCGCGCACCGCGAGGAGCGAGGAAACTTTGGATACCCTGACGAGAAGCAGATGGCTTCTTGCTGCGGGCCCCCACTGCAGAGAACCGCCTCTGGTCCAGACTCGCCCCGCACGCCGCACGGGACCAGGCGGCGAGCGGCCGCGGCGGCCGCGGGCCGGGAAGGCTGCGACGACACCCGGGCGAGGACACAGTCGGGCGAGGATCCATCGAGCGCCTCCATCGTTTGGACGTCCATTCCCTGTGTCGTTTTCGATTTCGTGCGTAGTTTTTTCGCCAAATGATCAAGGATGCTCCTCGACTGTCCTCGCCGAAGGAAAAATGCACACGTCCGAGCGATGCCAAGCTCTGGAGGCTGCGTCTCTGGCGCCGCGGCCTTCTCAGAGCGTTGCGGATCGCTCTGAGAGCGCTCAGGCTGTCTGTGGGCAAGATCTATCCTCGTCCTAGCCCCGTCCGGAAGGAGGAGGAGGAGGAGGAGGAGGAAGCCATGGTAAAGTATGACCTCGGCAAAGGCCACATCTGCTCGTTGGAGGGTCGGAAAGGGCAGGTGGGGCTCTTGGCGGGTGGGAACTCCTGGGTCTTCCTTGCCGGTTTGCAGTCCTGTGCCCAAGCGGAGGAGGAGGGAAGAGCAAAAAGCAAGCAAAAGTACGAGGAGGAGGAGGAGGAGGAACAAGCAGACTGTTTCCGACAGCGAACTCCAGACTGTGCGAGCTCCTCTTCCTCCTCCTCCTCCTCCTCCGAGGCTCCGCAGCCAGGCGCTCGGCAGCAGCGCGCCGCGCATGGGGGAGCACGAGCGGAGGCTCGCCCGCGGCGCCTGGCCCGGGTACGGCTGCGGCGCCTGCTGCAGCTGATGCACCTGGCCCCCCCCCCCCCGCTCTCCACGGCGGGCGGGCGCGGGCCCGCCGTCCCGCCGGCCTGCCGGCCTCCCTTCGCCGCCGCTCCCCCGCCGCGCTCCTCGAGGCGGAGCTCGCGAGCAGCGAGCGGGCACCGAGTTCGTGAATTCCTCCGCCTCGCCGCCCTGCCCCCCCCCCCATCCCCCCCCCCCCGCCTCGTCGCTGCTGCCCTCGCGGTGTGCGCCGTGCCTCGTGTGCCTCTCTCTGCTCCAGGGTCGGGCGCCGCGCGGTGCTGCTTCACAGTCGTCGGGCGGCCCGCTGTTCCTGCCTCGCGCTATCGCAGCCCTTGGGAATTTCCTCCCTGCGGGCTGGCACTCCACCGAGCTCGGGTCCAGTGGTGATCACACTGGTGTTGCAAACGCCCCTTGCATGTGCACGGCTTCTGAACCTAGCCTGACCTCCTCCGAAATCATTACGTAGCACCCCGCACATGCGGATAAGAGTGAGGGGGCCGGGGGGCGTCGGCAGTCTGCGAGGCTCTGGAGAAATCCGCCGCAGGCGCAAAACATGTAAACTATACAAAGAGCCCGCGCCGATTTCTTTGTTAAAGCAATGTGGGTGGGTCGCGGGTTGGGTCGCGGGTGGGTCGCGGGTGGGGCGCGGGTGGGGCGCGGGCCGGGTCGCGGGCGGGTCGCGAGCCGGTCGCGGGGTGGGTCGCGGGGTGGGTCGCCGGTGGGTCGCGGGGTGGGTCGCGGGTGGGTCGCTGGGTGGGTGGTGGGTGGGTCGCGAGGCGGGTCGACGACGCCAAACAACAACGACAACAACACTAACAATTACTAGCACGTGGGGACACTCCGTTCTCACCAGTGCCAGGGTTTTCATACGACGCCCGCCAATACTCCCACTTTGTGGGGGGGCCGGCTCAAGCTCTATCACATTTCCAAACGACTCTTCGCCACCACCCACACCCAGCTTCCCGCCCTATGACGTTCGGACACTTCACTTCGTGGCCTGCGGACGACCGTGGCTACTACACTGGCGCATGGGTACAGTGACTTGTTGCGGGTAGAAATTTTGAAAATTCGTACAGATGTTTTTCGAGGACCTACGGTGCGATTCGTATGATTTTATGTTGCGCGGTGCTAAACTTCCTAAGAAACCCAATGTTTTTTGAAGATTTCGGCGTGCGCGCGCGAAGAAAAAACGAATGTGTCCCGCATGGTATTATTTGACAGGGATGATGGCCCTGGCAGGTGCGCAACCGTTGTTGGAGAAGTTCGAAGCACGTGAAAAAGTTGCTCGCAAAAGCCCGTTTGACAGAAATGTTTTAAAAAGTGTTGGGTTTCCTACAAATCCGCAAGAGCGCGCGGGATGAAATTTTGACATTTTTTTTTGAAAGAGCATTGGTTTTTGTTGATGTGTTTATGTTAAAATCGCTACGAACACTCAGGTTTTGGAAGGATTTCGTCTTGCGCGCGCGAGTGTCCACTTCACCTTATTTTTTTGCAAGGGATTCTTGAAGTTTGGTTATGTTAGAACAAGATATGTCATTTTATATTGTTCTTTGCAAGGGAAAGCGGGGGGGAACAAAACAACCGGATCTGGACCAACCCGTTTTGCCGGAGACTTCCTCACGAAAATGATGAAAACATGGCTGCGGCCTAGGCGCGGCGAGGGGGCCGTGCACCAGGGGCCCCAACAATAATCATTCTTTAGAAGAAATAATGTTCAACACCACCACCACCACAACCAACACCACCACCACCAACATCAACAACATAAACATCATCATCGACAGCAACAACATCAGCAACACCAACAGTCACAACAACAGCAACAACAACAGCAACATCAACACCAATAACAATAACAACAACAACAGCAACAACAATAATTTCAAGACTGTTCGCCCTTATATGCTCCAGTGTCCAATAACGCGTATTTCCCAAACCCTCGATACCCGCCCTCTTCGTCTTCGATCGAACCCCTTTTCGGGGGTATACCTTTCTTCCCTGCAGGCCGGGCCCCGGCAAGCGGCGGGGCGGCCGCAGACCGTCGGCCTGGCCGCAGACCGTCGACCCGACCCCAAGAGGGACGGACGGGGGACCGACCACGACCACGACGACGACGACGACGACGTCGAAGACGACAGCGACGACGACGACGACGGCGACGACGAGCGAAGGCGAGAGCGAGACAGAACGACAGCAGGGCCACGAAGGGCACGAAGTAGGCCACTAAGGGCGACAGCGGAGACACGAAGGGAATGCGTATGGGGCCACGAAGAGCGCGAACGAGCGGGGGCTACGAAGTGCAGATAATGCGGGGCCACAGAGGGCAATTACAGGGCCACTGAGGGTAGCAACTGGGCCACGTAGGACAGTGAGGGAGACACAAATGGCGACAGCGGGGCCACGAAGGGCATGCACATGGGGCCACAACGGGGGCCATTCCTGGGTGCCTGGGTGTCGGGAGCGCGGCGCTTGGGCAAATTGTAAGAAATTCCAACGCAAGGCCATTCTTCCGTAAGTTGCAAGCAAGTGTCCAGCGAGAGCGCGACTCCAGAGCGCCGGGAGAGCGATTCCTGAATGAATTGTAAGGAAGTCCCAAGCGAGAGCGCGATTCCTGAATAAAATGCGAGGAAGTCTCGGGCGGGAGCGGGGGTCCTGGCTAAATTGTAAGGAGGTTTCAGGCGGGAGCCATTGTTGTTGTAATCCGGGGGCCACGGGCCCAGTTTGAGCAGGAAGACTGTCCCTGTCAAAAAACAGGGTGCGAGCGTCGAGGGGCACACTTTGATTGAGAAAACCGTATGCACCGGTGGGGGGGATCGATAATAGGTGTTCTTCATAAGTGAGAACTCATCAACACCATCAACAACAACAACAAGAACAATAGCAATAACAATAATAACAACAACAAAGAGTAGGTGCGCGCGAGAGCCCCTTGAGCTGTAGCCGTCCGGACCCGCCCTCGCCTTATTGCGAAGGCTGCGCTCAGAGCCCCGTGGACGCATTCTGACCCCCCCCAGCAACAGCAACAGCAACAGCAACCAACACCCCCCCCAAAAAAAAATAATCCTGGAACTCCCTTGGACTCTCTTACGGACCTTGACGTGGTCCTATGGGTGGAAAACGTATGCGCGCCGGCGTGCCGCCGCGTCAATACAGATCCGATACAAACTGTATAAGATCCTGTAGAGATCCGATACAGACTGTATGGGATCCTTTAGAGACCCGATACTCACAGTATGGAATCCTGAAGAGATCCGGTGCAGACTGTATGGGATCTTGTAGAGATCTGATACAGACTGTATGGGATCCTATACAGATCCGATACACACTGTATGGAATCCTGTATAGATCCGATACAGGCTGTATAGAATCCTGTAGAGATCGGATACAGACTGTATGGGGTCCTGTAGAGATCCGATACTGACTCGAATGTATAGGATCATGTAGATATCCGATACAGAATGTATGGGCTGCTGCAGAGATCCGATACAGACTGTATGGCTCTGTAGAGATCCGATACAGACAATATAAGATCCTGTAGAGGTCCGATACAGACTGTATGGAATCCTGTACAGATCCGATACAGACTGTATGGAATCCTACACAGATCCGATACAGACTGTATAGGATCCTGTAGAGATCCGACACAGACTGTATAGGATCCTGTAGAGATCCGATACTGACTGTATGGGCACCTATAGAGATCCGATACACACTGTATGGGATCCTATAGAGATCCGATAGAGACTGAATGGAATCCTGTACAGATCCGATACAGACTGTACGGGGTCCTATACAGATCCGATCCGATGCAGACTGTATGGGGTCCTATACCGATCCGATACAGACTGTATGGGATCCTATACAGATCCGATACAGACTGTATGGGATCCTGTACAGATCCGATACAGACTGTCTGAGATCCTGTAGAGATCCGTTACAGACTGTATAGGTTCCTGTAGAGATCCGATACAGACTGTCTAGGATCCTATACAGATCCGATACAGACTGTATAAGATCATATACATATCCGATACAGACTGTCTGGGATCCTATACATATCCGATACAAACTGTATGGGCTCTTATACACATCCAATACAGACTGTATACGGTCCTACACATATCCGACACACACTGTATGGGATCCTATACAGATCCGATACAGACTGTATGGAATCCTACACTGATCCGGTACAGACTGTATAGGATCCTACACACATTCGATACAGACTGTATTGGGTCCTATACAGATCCGATACAGACTGTATGGGATCCAAGACAGATCCGATACAGACTGTATGGGATCCCGTACAGATCCGATACAGACTGTATAGGATCCTAAACAGATCCGATACAGACTGTATGGGATCCTATACCGATCCGATTCAAACTGCTTAGGGTCCCATACAGATCCGATACAGATTGTACAGGATCCGATACAGACCCGATGCAGACTGTATGGGATCCTGTAGAGATCCGGTACAGACTGCATGGGATCCTGTAGAGACCCGATCCAGACTGTATGGGGTCCTACACTGATCCGATACAGACCGTATGGGATCCTGTAGAAATCCAATACAGACTGTAAAGGATCCCGTACAGATCCGATACAGACTGTATAGGATCCTACACAGATCCGATGCCGAATGTATAGGATCCTATACAGACCCGATACAGATTGTAAGGGATCCTGTAGAGATCCGATACAGACTGTATGGAATCCTATACATATCGGAAACAGACTGTATGGAGTCCTGTGGCGATCCGATACAGACTGTATGGTATCCGATACAGATCCGATACAAACTATATGGAGTCCTGTAGAGATCCGATACAGACTGCATGGGATCCTGGAGAGATCCGATACAGACTGGCTGGGATCCTGTAGAGATCCGATACAGACTTGATAGGATCCTGTTGAGATCCGACACAGACTGTCTAGGATCCTACACAGATCCGATACAAACTGTATGGGATCCTATACAGATCCGTTACAGATTGTATGGAATC